CTCTCTCTCTCTCTCTCTCTCTCTCTCCCTCTCTCAGGGAACTGCAAGGAACGTGTTTGAGAGAGGCTGGCAGGGTGCAGGGTCCCCCTAACAATGACCTCCACCCCAAGGTGTTGACCACGGGGATGGGACACTTAGTTCCCAGCACAGCTCCTTGCTCCACAGTCAGGGGCTCTGTCCTCGAGTAAGGGTGGGGAAAGGCTGGCACGGGTGAGGAGACCGAGCCCTCACCCCACTCACCCAGAGTAGCCTGGGCTGACTCTGGAGGGACAGAAGGGGGACCTGCTTCACAGAACCCCATCGTTTTCATCGACCCTGCTCTGCTGAGCTGAGAGCAGAACGTGTCTGCAGGGTTTTCAGGTGACAAACACCCACATTACACAGCACTGCGCACTCACTGGCGCCATAGCAACCCTCGTCGGGGACAGCAGTGGGCATGAGCAGGAGATGGGAGTGGCCACACCCACGGATTCTCCGGTCTCGGTGACAGTGGTGGCAGCCGGTCCTCGGAAGGCTCCTCTGCCTCCTCGCCTCCCCCAGCTGGCTTGAGTGTTCTGTGAGCCCCGCATGAGCTCCGGAAGGGTTCAGGTTAGACGGACCCTCCCTCCAAACCCGGGAGTGTGGGTGGGCTCCCCAGGACCCAGCGTCAGACACCACAGGGACAGAAGCTATACCTGCGGCTGGGGAAGCTGGGCATAAACTCGCCGAGGCCCACGGGAGGGTGGTTTCCCTCCCCGCAGCGTCCCATCGAAGGGATGCGGAAAGTACAAATGTACGGTTAGGAGGGCTGAGAGCATCGGAGCCAGGAAGGAAAATGTCCAAGCAGGGTGAGTAGATGGCACCTCCACCCAGAGGGAGAGGCCCGGGCGGCTGCTCTACACCTCACCTCCACCTCATACCAGAGAACAAAAAGGCAACAAAGTGTGACCACAGAGAACCGGAGTCCAGTCTTGAGTCCAGACCCTCGTATTGCACGCTTCGCAGGGATTGGTCACTCCCAGCGTATTCATTCACTCACTCAATTTTGACAACAAATTTGCAATGAAGGCCAGGCTGGTCCAGGTGCTAAACACATAGCAGCAAACAAAAGAGGAGGCCAGGTGTGGCGGCTCACGCCTGTAACCCCAGCACTCGGGAGGCTGAGGCAGGAGGATCGCTGTGAGTTCGGGACCAGCCTCGGCTACACAGTGAGTTCCAGGTCAGTCTCAGCTACGTAGTGAGACCATGTCTCAAAAAACCAAACCAAACCAAAGCAAAACAATACATAAATACAAACGAGGAAGTCCTGGACCTTGTGACCTTTACAATCTGGTGGCGGGGACAACTGGTAAATGAAGATATGTATGGTAGGACCAGGGTTTCACGCAGAGCTACTCTGTAAAGGAAGTAACGTTTGAGGGAGCTCGGATGTGTTTTGAGCTAACTTTTAATTTGTTGCCCGACTTCCTTATTCTCCTCCTGGTCCCTGCCTTCTCCTCCTTCCTTTCCTCATTTTTGTAAATTGCTTCACCACTTTAGGTTTGTTATTGTTTTCCCTAAGCTGGGGGATTTTTGCTGCAATTTAAAAATGGATTTTAGAAAAAAGCTGCCCAAATGTATAGCGATTTGGAGTTACTTGGAGAGGACAGTGAGTCAGCACGTGCGATGTCTGCTTCCTGGCTGTGTGAAATCCCAGAGTGCCTACCACACTTTGGCCACAACTTCCAGAGCTGTGGCTTCCCTGTTCTGGTGCCCCGTGGGTCGCTGTTGCCCTGGGGCTTGGAGATGCCCCTTCATGGCTCAGTTTCCATCTGCCAGGTTCCTGCCTGCGCTGCAGCCCTGACCCAGCCCTCCCCTCTGTGTATCCACCACTTGGAAATGACAGCAGTGACTTTGTGCTGACAGTGGTCATTTCTGTCACCAATCAGGCAGGGGACAGACAGCAGACCCACGCCACAGTCAAGGTGGGTGGGTGGTGGCAGCCGCTTCTTTAAATTTGGGGACTTTTCCACCCCTCTGAACTTCACTACAAGGGCGGTTGGGAGGAAGGCAGCCAGCCGGTCAGATGAATCACTGATCCACTCAGTCCTCTGACAAATACTCGAAGGGTACCTACTGTGCGCAGGCCCGGAAGACATATAGGCGTGGTCTTGGGAGCTCTTAGGACTCAGTGGCCTACGTCCTGGAAGCAGGGGTGGACCGTGGCAGATGAACCCAGGCATGAGTTAGACCGGTGCCCTCAGAGTATAGAAGGAGGATGGACAGCAGATCCCATGCGGACACCAGGCAGAGTAAAAGCCCAGGAAGTCCAGAGTCAAGAGTAGAGACGGAAGGGAGAAGCACAGAGGAAGAGGAAGCTGCCTGGGGACCTGCGGGTCTGCTGTCCTCAGCCTCGGGTGGTGCCCAGCCTGGGCCCTCGGGGACGTCAGGTGCCAGGCTCCGGAAGGACCACTGAGCTCACTCCTGGCTTCCCTGTCAGGTGCGACTTGGTGACACTTGCATGGAGGATGTGGCATTTGAGGCTGTGGTGCTGGAGAAAATCACGGCCACCCTGCAGGGCGACAATGGCCCCGAGCGGCTCCTCCAGCTGGCCAAGTCTGTGTCGTCCGTGCTGAACCAGGAGGGCCTGAGCCAGGGCTCCAGTGTGCTGCTGAGGACGGATACCAGGCAGAAGGTGGGGCCTGGGGTCTTCATGCAGCCACTTGGGGTGGGAAGTGAGGTGCGTGGACCCGCAGAGGAGAAGCTTTTAGCGCTGCCCAGGGACTGGTGTCATCTCCCTCTCTAATCCTGCCAGAGAGTGACATAAAGTGAAGAAAATGTCTTCCGGGCTGGTCACCTGTCTTCTCTCTCACTGTCACGGGGTCACAGGCTTCTGCAACTGGAAGGGAATTTTACTGTAAAAGGATCCATACAGGGGATTAGATCCAGCTGAACCACCAGTGGTACAAGCCGCCTTGGGTGGCCAAGCCAGTGAGAGCATGTGAAGACATGGGCATCTCTGGGGGCCACTGTCCTCCCTGCCCACATCCTCTGAGAAGTGTGGGTTGATGGGCTGTGGGGCCTGCTCACTCTCCTGACCCCAGATCTTCCGGAAATGCCTTCGTGGAGCCGCTGGAATGACACTTCCTCTTCCTGTCTTTCCCCCCATGGCAAGGTCAGAGAGCATGTGCTGAGGTCGCTGACCACAGTCACGGCCAGCCTGAAGGACATGCAGAGGGTACAGAGGCTGGCCGAGGTGCTGAGAGAGCTGACCCACCACTGTGAGCTCATGCCCACGGCCCAGGTGAGTTTCTACCTGCAGAGCCTGCCCAGAGCACCGGCCTGCACCGTGGATGGGTGAAACCCAGCAAGCGTAGGTCAAAGGTCAAAGGGGCTCCTCTGTCATGGGCTCTCCTGAGGCTGCAGGTCTTCTCCTCTCTCCAAGGGTGCCGGAGAAGGTGGCCCTCTGGCAGCCCCCATGTCTCACCCTGGAGGTGACTTCCTGTCTGCCCATAGCCCTCACCTCACCCACTGCTGAAGAACTCAAGACAGCAACCGGATCGAGTGCATCTCTGGGCATAGGGCAGGTGGGGAGGTGGGGATGTGGCTGCTGACCCGCCCCATCCCGCTCTGCACCCACCAGCCGGCCATCCGGGGCCCAGGACCTGCCTTTCTAGCCTGGGATCCTCCCTAACCCGGACGCCCTCCGCCTGCCCACGTGGCCAGGAATCCACGCCATGCTCAGTGACCGCAGGGCAGAGTGCAGGAGCCCCAGCTCCCTCGCCCTATGGGTAACGCCCAACAGCACAGAGCCAAGGCGACGGACTTGGCCCCGCCTCCTGTCCTCACTGCCAACCTTTCTTGGCCTCATTTCCCCTCCTCTACCAGAGTTTCTCAAGTGCCTGGCCTCAGGATCTACTTCTTGAGAACTGTTATCAAAACGCCCATGTCCCCAGGGCTATGACCGCCAGGGTTTAAAGCAGAAGCCATAACAGCTGGGTGTGGTGCTGCACACAACATCAGCACTCTGGGAGATGGAAGCAGGAGGACCACAAATTAGATCCCAGCCTGGGCGACTGAACGACTTAGCGAGATCGGGGAGGGGGATAGCGCAGTGTGAAGGCACTGGGTTCAATCCCCAGTACAGAAGGAAAAAAAGCAGCCACAAAAACAGTAAGAGGGGAGAATCTCCCGTCTTTAAGGCAGGGACCACGGTGTGATACTGATGTGCTCCTTGGCAGGCGCACACCCATTTGCTCACCCATGTCGTGTGCACGCATCACACGTGCACCTAAATGCACCCTCCTTCCACCCTTCTGAGCACTTATACAGGTTTTCACGTGTTCACTCATTCGGTCAGAATCACTGGGAATCCGGAAGCAAGTCACACACAAGGACTCTACCTCCTAGCACTTTCAGACTATCAGGGAAGCCGGACATTAAACACGTAATTCAACAAACAGACAGCCAATTTGGAATAGGTGCTATGTCCGTCCGTCCACCCATTCCTCTGTGTATTCATCTTCTGGCCATCTAACCACAACCTATCCATGGATCCATCTATCCACCATCCACCATCACCCATCACCCGTCCATCTTCCATCTATCAATCTACCCATCATCAGCTACCCATCACCTACCCCTCTCCATCTTCCACCAGGATTAAGGCCGCTGTGATGTTTGAGGCTCTCTGAGGAGGGCACAGAGACGGGCCTGGCTGCGCCTAGGGGAACTGACAGTCTCAAGTCAGGGGTCCAGGCAGCTCCCGTGACGGATCTGGCCCTGCTCTTCCCTGGCACACGCCCTCCCCGCTCCCCTCCACAGCAGCCCTCGTCCCTTGAAGGGCTCGGGTGGTCCATGCTGGGTGGGGGCTCACATTGCTTTTCCTTTTTTGGGTGAACCAGCGGCAGGCCAGCCAAGCTCTGCACCGCGCCAGCGAGGCCCTGCTGCAGTCCGTCCTGAGGACCGGAGGCGCCAGGCGGCCGTCAGAGACCTGTTTGGGGCTGTGGGAAACGTACTGGATGCCTCCCTGAGCTGCGGACCTGAGGAGCCCGGGGAGACCGACGCCAGCCAGGTGGGCATCCTGGGCCATATGTGGGCTTCACAGGCACTGTGTGCCCAGCTCACATCAGCGTTCCCAGTGGCCCTTTCTCCCCATCTCACGGATGAGCAAACTGAGGCAGGGAGGCTGGAGGAAAGGTTCCGGAGAGCACACTGCGGGGCCGCACGGGAGGTAGTGTGGTATAGTGGGGAGCGCGCAGCTCTGGAACCAGGCAGCCTGAGCCTGACTCCGGGGGTCCCTCTCAAGCCTGTGCCCCAGAGGTCACGTGACTTCCCTAGGCCTCGTTTCCTCTTCTGTAAATGGCGATGCCGTGACTCGTCCCCCATGAGCCCCCAGTTGGGGGATCCTAGGCACCCAGTAAGTCTTCAAACAAGAGCACAGAAAGGCTTTGAGAGTGAGAACGTGTGGGATGTGTGTGTCCCACAGGCCCCAAGATGGGGACAAGGGTGCAGGACCCAGGGCAGCCCCGGGACAGGGCCGCAGAGCCCCATCACCTCCGTCCAGGGTCCCCTGTCCCCGGCCACCTTCCCAGCCCAGGAGGACCTGAGGCGCAGCCCACGCAGGTGTCTGGCCGCTCGGTCACACATGCACACACAGCCACGCGTTCAGACACACTCCGCTGCATCCCCACACACTCGCACACACACTCAGACCACATCCACACCTCCAGACACAGGTGGCGAGGAATCCAAACACAACACCTTGGAGCATGAGTGCGAGTGCACACACGGACTCCTCCACACACATCCTCACCCACGGCCACAGTCGCGTGCACACGCTGACAGACTCTCTGCACATTCAGACACACTCACACCCAATACACTCACACGCATTCACACGCTTACACTCGTGGATGCGCTCCATTACTATATTCACACAGCCATGCGCACATGCACGCGCGCGCACCCACACACACCATCGGGGACCCCTGGGCTCTCTGTGCAAGTGTCCAGCTCCTCCTGGTCCACACAACACCCTGCATCATCACTGAGGAAACAGCTGACCTGGGTGTGCACAGTCGGCGGGGATGGGAGCAGAGCCCAGCCCAGGTGCCCGAGGATGGCCGCGCCCATGGCGCCCACCACCCCGGAACAAGACCCAGCAGAGTGTGGCTGTCAGTAGCAGAGAGAGCCATGTGGCGTGAAGGCTCCATGCAGGGACCTTGAGCTGAACTCTTCCCTGGGAGGCCTGGCTCCTAGCAGCAGGTGACCCCTCATCACCTGTCCTGTCTGTGCCTCTGTTTCCCCTTCTGCATGCTGTGAGGATGCCAGGCATTTGTAGAATTCAGGACTTGGAATCTGAGCGTCTCCTCCTATGGTCACACACAGTGCTGTCTTTCCCCCTCCCTGCCCTGTCCACCCCGGTCCCTGCAGGAGGCCCCACACCAGCCTGGTGTCATTAACCAAAGGTGGCCCAGGGTGGTGGCCCAGCGGTGTCCTCCTGCCTCCCTTTCCAGGCTTCTGCAGTGGCCCAGCTGCTCAGAGTGGCAGAGCGCATGCAGACCGCCCTCCTGCTGGGCACATTGCCCGGGGGGGCTTCCGGCCACCCTGGCCACCCCGTCCATCTCCGTGTACACAAGCAGGTAACTGAGAAGCTCGTGCCCTGACCTCACGCCTTCTACACCCACATCCCAAGAGCCTGTGACAGGCAGAGCCTGCAGGCCAGTCCTGAGCTGGGAAGCACAGGGACAGGACAGGAAAGGAAGGACCCGGAGCCCAGTGTCCAGGCCACTAAGGACAGCTGTGGGACAGGGCGGGAGGAATGGGCCTGGCCTGCACGCATGCACACTTGCCTGGGGCGTCTCCCCACAGTGTTGCTGTCACCGAGCCCTGACTGCAGCCTGGGGACCGCTTCCTCTCTCCCCTCACCCACCAGTCAAGCAGGGCCTGTGCTGCGACTCCTGGCACCCAGTGCCCATCCTCGGGTCCTCAGGGAGGTTTCTGGGTCACAGCCAGGATCTGAAACAGGTCTTCAGCTAATCAGATGGGACAAGGTCCAAGGGCAGACAGGACGGGGCTAGGCCATGGCCTCAAAGGTCATGGCGGGAGGGAAGACGAACCCAGGGAAATGTCCACGCCCAAGCTCGTTCTCATCCACTCGTTCACCAAAAGCCTGGGAGTCAGCGTGATGGTGCTCGCCTGTGACCCCAGCACTCGGGAGCCTGCGGCAGGAGGATGGCGGCTCCAAGTTCAAGGCCAGCCTGGCTACACAGCGAGATGCTGCCTCAAAAGATAAAATCTGTTGAACGCCTCCTCTGTGGCAGACCCTGTTCCAGGGGCAGCACCAGAGCAGCAAACAGCTGGCAAGGCTCTGCCTTCCCAGGGCCTCCCACCCTGCACGGCTGGCACTGCTTCTGCCACCCCAAACGCACAGCAATGTCCAGAGCTGAACCCCGCAGCCCATCCTACTGGAAAGCTGGGGGTGCTGACCTCTTCCTCTCCCTGTCCCCTCCCTGTGGCCAGGATAGTCCCCTGGAGCTGGCGAGGGTCCACCCTGCATGTTGCTGCCACTGCTGACTCTGCGGCCTTCACTCTGCCCACCGGGCCCCTCCGCACCCCAGAGCAGGCGCCGGAGCCTGTCGACGTCAGGGTAACGCAGCCACAGCCTCTTAGGGGACAGCGAGGCCCTAGGCTGGGCTCAGCTCACCGACGCCTGTGACTCTGGGACGCCGTGGCATTGTGCCCCTTTCACAGATGAGGCTTCATGGCGGGCTCCACACCCTCAGCTCCAGGCACCCACACACACACACTGCATTCTGGGGAAGAGAGACTTGGCAGGTTCTACAGCCCAGACATTGCTCAGCCAAACCATCTGCTCTGGGTCCTCTGGGGCAGCCCTGTGAGGCCACAGTCTGAGGGGCAGAAACACACCCCCAAAACCAGCAGCAGCTACAGCTCCTTAGTGCCAGGATGACTCGCCTGCCTCACCTTACAGCGTGGGGACCTGGTCCCCTCTAGCCACTCAGGGGCTCTGCTCTGCGTTCCAGGTGATGAGCTTCCGCTTCCGGAAGAGCCCCTTTCTGGCCGGAAGCAGCTTTGATGTCAGTGGAGCTGTGGGCAGCCTGAGTCTGTGCAGCCCCATGAGTGGAGCGCTCATCCCCATGAAGAACCTGTCGGAGAAGGTTGAGGTAGGAGCCAGGGCCCTGGAAGCAGATGGTCCTCTGGCTTCTTCAGCTTTGTTGGGACCAAAAAATCACTCAATTATGAAAACAGTGTTTAAAGAGGGAATCATTCAAAATGATCCCGGGCCAGGATATAGCTTCTAAAATATCTACTTAGATTGAAATCTTTCTTTTGTGGTGCTAGGGATTGAACCCATGGCCTCACACATGCTAGGCAAGTGCTTGCCCACAGAGCTACACCCCAGCCCTACATTTTCTTTAAAGTTAAGCAAAATATAAACACACCATGGGCAATAGGAGGTCAGATTCTTCCAAGATCTGTATGATCCTGGTCATTAACAGTTTTCTTACCAATGACAGTTTTGTTTGTTAGTTGGTTGGTACTGAGGATTGAACTCAGGGCCTTCACACTGAGCTACATCTCCGCTCTTTTGGAGACAGGATCTCAGTAAGTTGCCTAGACTGGGCTTGACCTTGTGATCCTCCTGCCTCAGCTTCCCAAGCGCTGGGGATTAAGGCATGTGCCACCACATGCAGCACTGATGTAATGACAATTTTAGTGGTGTCCACATCCTCATCCCTGGAACCCAAGGTCACCAGGGACTCTGCATCTGTGACAGGATCAGGGGCCTTTGATGGGGGTTGGCCTGGATGGTTCATGGGCCCAGGGAACCACAGCGGGCTGCATGAGATGCACATGGGCAGTGCTGGCGACAGCAGAGGAGAGGGGATCGGGTGGTAGGCACAAGGGGAGATGTGAGGCCAGGGCCAGCAGCTGAGGAAGGTCCGTGACCTCCAGAAGCTGGAGAAGGACGTGGGTTCTGGCCTGGGATTTAGGAAACCTCTGGGAGCTGGTTTGGACCTCAGTGGCACACACCTGTGATGCCTGCACTTGGGAGGCCGAGGCAGGAGGACCGCAGCAAGTCTGAGACCAGCCTGGGCCACACAGGGAGACCCTATTTCAAAAAAGCAGGGGAAAAAAAAGGAAAGAAACTGGTTTTAGGGCTCTGGCCCCCAGAACTGTGAGATGCACATCCGTATCTTTTGATGCTGCCGGCTGTGGATGCTCCCAGGAGGGCGTAGGCGTGGGTTTCGGTCAGAGGCTCACCCACCTGGCTGGACAGCGGCCCTTCCAGGCGAGCCTTTGACGTCCTTGTCCCTAACACAGATCCTGTTTCCCGGCCTGCGGAAGGACACAGCACGCCGACCGTGTTGAACCTGACCAGGGCTGAGGTTCTGCGGGTGAATGTGACCACGACAGCGTCGGCTCCGGGGGTCCAGCTGCACTGGGGACCTGGCATCCCCCTCACGCTCAGCCTGGGCTACGGCTACCACCCCAACGCTACCAACGACGACGCCCAAACCTGCCTGACACCAGCGGCTGCTCCAGGTACCCCGCTCCCTGGCTTGTGTCGGGAGCTGCTTCCTGGGGTGTGCCCACCTTCCAAAGTGAGGATTCGAGCCAGGCCTGGCGGTGCACACCTGTAATCCCAGCACTCAGGAGGCTGAAGCAGGAGGGTTGCCACAAGTTCAAGGCCAGGCTAGGCTACATAGTGAATTCAAGGAACTATATAGGAGACCCTGTCTCAAAAAAAGTAAATGTGAACATCACAAGCCTTGGGGGTAAAAAACAAAGAAAAAAAACCTGCCATTCAGATGAGCCGGCCACATGGATCCTGGGCCCCGAGGAGCTGCCCTTTGGAGCAGGCGTCTACTATCTGAGCGTGGTTCCCGAATCTGGCCTGGAGCTCGGCCCTGGCAAGGACCTCACCATCGGCGTCACCACCTTCTTGTCCCACTGTGTTTTCTGGGACGAGGTCCAGGAGACTTGGGACGACTTTGGGTGCCAGGTAAGGAGAGAGGGCAGAGGCAGGGTGGCCCGGCAGGGTGTATCTGGCTCGGGTAGCTCCCCTCCAGTGCCTTTGCCCTGGTGTCTTTGTTGTTTTTTGGGTTTTATGAGACAGGGTCTCACTACATAGTTCAGGGTAGCCTTAAAGTTATGGTGACCCTCCTGACACGTGTATCTCATGGGCACCACAGGACCTTTGCACATGCCATCCCCTGTGCCCAGAATGCACCCCTGCCTTGCTGTTGCCTGCTTTCTGGAGAAAACTTGTAACCTCTGGGACACACATACACACACGCCCCCCCTTCACAGCACCTTGCAGCAAGTTCACCATACCTAAGTACAGGTCACATAAGTGATGTCCAATTCCCTCGGGGCATGGAGCCAAGCATTGCTCATTGTGGGTAGTAAATGATCATAGAGGAGTGGAGGCTGAGGCAGGAAGGCCTGGCCATTGGGGAGGCCAGAAGTCCTATCCAAGGAAGTGAGCTCCCAGCCACACCTTTTGAGTGCTGGGTCCCTGCTCTGTTTTGTCTCATTGGATCTTCACAGGGATCCTTGGAGAGTTGTTATTCCCAATTCACTGAGAAAACAGAGAAGGCTTGGGCCACGTATAGTAGCATAGGCCTCTAATCCTAGCACTTCAGGAGGCTGAGGCAGGAGGATTCAAAACCTGGGTCCTGCGTGAGCAACTTAGCAAGATCCTGTCTCTAAATACAAAAATAGAAAAAGGAATGCTGGGTGAGAAGGCACTGGGTTCAGTTCCCAGTACTGCCAAAACCATAAAAAATAAACTGAAAGCTCAGGAGACTCTGACGCCTCACCCCAAATCCCACACCTGGCGTGGGGAGGAGCAGGGACGCGGAGCCAGGCCTGTCGGTGTCCAGAGTTTGACTGTGGCACTGGGTGGCACTGCTGTCCTTGCGTGAGTCCTGCCCACAGAGCCCTGGCTTGCTCTTGGCTTGGTGAACTGCAACCACATCCCCCACTCAGGGCTCTGCCCTTCCCCAGGGGGCAGAGGCAGCGACACCGTGCTGCCACCTTGAGGCCATCACGAGTCACCTGGGAGGCCCTTGCCCCGATGCCCATCTCACCTCCTGCCGCTCGCCCTGCAGCGCCCTCTTCCTGGGGACCATCCCAGGTGTCCCGGGTGTCCTGCTGTCGAATCCCACAGCATCCCCTTCCCTTCACAAGGCCAGCAGCCTACACAAGGAAGGAAGGAATTTAACATCTTTCTGTCCTGGAGACCCCATCGACCTTTGATTTATCCACCAAATAGCCACCACGCCCCAGTGGCTAGGATACAATGTGAGTGAGTTCCAGCTACCCATGCCTGTAACACCAGCACTGTGGGAGGCTGAGGCAGGAGGATCCAAGTGTGAGCCCAACCTGGGCAACTTAGTAACCAAGAAGACCTTGTCTTAAAAAACAAGCAAGGCCCTGGGTTCAATCCCCAAAGCTCAGAAAAGAAGTAAATAAGTGAAAACAGTGAGGTCTCACCTAGCCAAGGACACAGGAAGCCAGTGACTCACACGAGTGTAAGGATGAGAAGCCCTGTCCCTCGGAGCCCCAGAAGGAGCTCCTTCCAGCCTCTGCCCTGCATCTGGCTGTCACACTGGGGGTCCCCAGAGCCCCAGGAAGGAAGGAGAGCACATGGGGATGTCCAGGAGACAGCAGGTCCCCACGATCATGGTACAGTCTTCGCCCCTCTGGAGTAAACGCCAGCGGGGTCCTCCCAGGGGTCCCAGCTCCGGGAAGCCGCTTGGCTCCCAGCGGCCAGCAGGGGGCAGCGTCAGAGCGGAGCGGGGGCTGCAGCCCGGCGCTGCCCTCAGACAGAACCGGGTCCGCCCCGCACTAGCCGTGCGTTCCCATCTGGACATGAGTGAACGACGCCTACAGTGCACGGTGACTCCAGGGTCAGAGCCGTGGACGCGCTCAACACTGGGGCCAGAGAAGATGACGCCGCCTGAAAATGGAAATCAAGGAGACTGGAGCAGGGCCTCAGGCTGGAGGGGAGAGTTGGGGGAGGGACACTTAGCTACACCCAAGCTATTTGGCAGTTTCCAGCTTTCGAGTACAGGGGTGAGTTCTTCAATATTTACCGTTATTAAGAATCAAGCTCGGCGTGGTGGCGCACACCTGTAATCCCAGCACTTGGGAGGCTGAGGCAGGAGGATCACCATGAATTTGAGGCCAGCCTGAACTACATAGCAAGATCCTGTCTCAAAAAAAAAATCCACACTGTGCGCTTGCTGCTCATTAACGATGCAGATACAGATGTGAGAGGCCGTTCTACAGAACTCACTGAGAAGTTGTAAGTGAGAGATGAGACCGTCAAGTTTGGATGGAGTCACCACTGAATTCTCAAAGTAGCCAGAGAAGGCTCCAGGTCTCTGGAGGCTGGTGTTTGCACATCTGTACCAAACTGCAAAGGAGGCGCTGTTCGGTCTCAGGTCCACAGGTGGATCCCTGGTGTCCGAAGAGCCCTCACAGGCCGGGGTGCAGCTCCACCCCAGCACGTGCAAGGCCTGGGCTCCATGCTGAGAAGCCACCACAGAGGCCTCTGCCCGAGGTCTTAGCAGAAAGCCCAGAAGGAGAGCTGAGGAGTCGGCAGAGATCAGGGCTACACTGGCCATGGTCTGCCCACCCAGCTGCTGGTCTCTTCTCTGAAGCCAACCTCGCCCTTCTGGGAGGACCAGGGTTCCCATAAGCCCCGGGCTGCGTGCCAGCCACTGGCCAGGACCGGAAAGGTGAGGATGACCAGGGAGCCGCGGAGCCAAGAGACCTCGGGGGGAGACAGGAGGATCCTTGTCCTGCTGGGGCCCAGTGAGAGGCACTTTCCGGGTCAAGCTGGGCTGGGACAGTTTATTTCTCCCCTGGTGCTTGAGCGAAGAACTCTCAGGTGCTGGTCTCCTCTGTCCCCTCCGTTCTTGTCACCTTGTGAGCCCTGCAGGAAAACGGCGGCGCCGGGTGGTATAGTTGGGTTCAATCTTCCCAGCCTGCAGGGTGGTCCTAGGCTGTGACTTCATACTGGCTGAGGCCTTTGGGGCGGCCAGGCCCAGGCCAGCCACCCCCACTTCACAGGGAGGTGCCACCGCACCAAGCCCTAGGCAGAACAGACTGATGTGGTGCCCACAGTGAAAGACAGGTGTGAAGGTGTTTGTCAAAAATTGGGCATACTGGAGCAGGCCTAAAACCCCTGGGAGGCCGAGGCCAGGACCACCACAAGTTCAAGGCTAGTCTGAATTACAGTGAGACCTTGTCTCAGAAATTAATAAAGTAATAATAATAATAATTTCTAGGTAGATGTGAGGATGTAAGCCTGTAATCCCAGCACTTGGGAGGCTGAGGCAGGAGGACGCAAGCTCAATTCCCATCTAGGCAACTTGGTGAGACCCTGTCTCAAAAAAAGTAGATAAAAAAGGGTTGGGGATATAGTTCAGTGGTAGCATAACCTCAGGTTCAATCCGCAGTACTGAGAGATGAAGACAGATAGACAAGACAGGCAGATAGATAGACAGACTGAATTTTAAAATTTATCTTTCATTAAATAAAAAGCCCAAAGGAATCCTGAGGCTGCGGCCCCAGCAGTCTCCCAGCCCCACGGCCCCCACTGCTGTCCCTCAGTATCCCGGGAACGGGAGTGAGAAGGTGTCGTTATCTGTCATGACCCTGCCCCACGCCCCGTACACCTGAGACCATCACTAAGAGCACATGAATGCTATCTGCGTACACTGCTGCTGGACTGCATTGCAAGGAGTAGCAAAGGGGAAACTTGTGCCTGTTCAGTATGAAAACACGTGCTAAAATGGAACATCTCGTGCCACCTGTTCAGTAAACAGGACAAAGAGGACGTATTTCCACTCTGAGGCTGGTGAATCGCGGGGGCAGCAAGCGGGCACTGGCGGGGTCTCTCAGG